AGCCAAGTGCCACTAAAATGAACCAAATCAGTATCCTGTTTCGTACATTAGATGCAATGACATATCCTATTCTTTTTCCACATGGTGAAAAAGGCTGGGAATAGATATTGCATTAAGACTCGACAACAGGTCCTGGCCGGTTTGGCTCAGTGGATAGAGCGTCAGCCTGCAGACTGAAGGGGCCCAGGTTCGATTCCAATCAAGGGCATGTACCTTGGTTGTGGGCACATCCCCAGTGGGGGATGTGCAGGAAGCAGCTGGTCGATGTTTCTCTCTCATCAATGTTTCTAACTCTCTATCCCTCTCCCTTCCTCTCTGTGAAAAATCAATAAAATATATTTTAAAAAAAAGACTCGACAACAGTGTAATCAACAACAATACTAGACAAAATGTAAGGACAGAAGTCACACAAATGCAGTATTATGGATTTCATCTCACTGTGAGGGACACATTCAACCCTATTTTAAATGCAGGAAAATTAACAGTTTATTGTGGATTGATATTTAAAAATGGAGGCCAAACCTAACCCTAACCCTAGCCCTAGCCCTAACCCTAACCCTAGCCCTAACCCAGCTGTGGGCAAACTACGGCCCGCGGGCCGGATCCTGCCCGTTTAAAATGAAAACTATTGGAAAAAAAAGACCGTACCCTTTTATATAATGATGTTTACTTTGAATTTATATTAGTTCACACAAACACTCCATCCATGCTTTTGTTCCGGCCCTCCGGTCCAGTTTAAGAACCCATTGTGGCCCTCGAGTCAAAAAGTTTGCCCACCCCTGCCCTAACCCTAACCCTAACCCTAAAAAAGAAAAAAAAAATGGAGGCCAATTGGATAAATTTCATCAAAGCAAACCAATCTAAGTTGAGAGTTGAAAAATATAGTGATTTGATGGATTATCTCAAATCTAGATATGAAAAGGACAATGTGCCGATTGGTAAAATAATACTTCCATCATCTTTTGAGGATAGTCCCAGAAATATGCAGCAGCAATATCAGGATGCTATGGCAATTCAAGAG